GCCCCCCCCCCCCCCCCCCGCCCCCTCGGCCTTGTTTGCCATCGGGGTTTGGGTTTTCGTCGCTTGGCAACGACGTTGTAAAACAATCCAATTCACTTCGTGAACTCGGCAACCAGGTTACCGGGTTTTTTACCTCGATTTGTTTTTTGGCGGTAACCATTATGGTGGTCGAGTAGATCATGTTGTGCTGGGTGGAGAACCCTCACTCCGCGCAAGGGGGATGATCGCACCACGTTGTGTTAAAATGGTCAAGCGTCCTCGAGGCAGTTACACAGTGCTTACAACTGTCTCTGGAAGTGAAAGCACCAGAAAATAAATTAAGTCATACGTAGCTGTCATCCGTAAGCAAGGAAGTAAGCCCAAGATGCCGAACACCCTTAGCAGGATGCAGCTCACCCTTCATGCGACTCGCCAAATACCTCACGGCGCTTCGCGCTTGGTGATGTGAGAGCCTGGTCCGGTGAGAACCCGGCGTGTTCCGTCCCGGCTTTGTAGGGATGCGAGGTCAATGGTCTAAGGATTACGGCATGCACGATTATGAGTACACCCCCCCCCCCCTACAAGCGCGTTGCTGGTGTTGTGTCCTGTGGATACGCTTGAAGCTGAAAAAACATTACGAGTCGACGGATTTGAACAAGCGTTCCGAACGAAGGGTCACAAGAGCGATCTATTCCTATGAACCATGCCCCCCCTCAAGACACTTTCAAGTCACCTCGAGGAGGTACGTATGGCAAGGATCGCACGAAAAGTTGCGATCCCCGACGCCTCCCTCCTCGACTACACGGAACACGCAAACAGCACAGCTATTTACACGTCCACCAAGGATTTTGACCGCCTTCGCGAGAGAATAGTTTAACATTTCAAATATGAAATAGAGAGGGGGGTTTCGCATCCCTAACTCTATCCCCCAACCCCACCTACTAAAACTAATCTCAATATCCTCGCGAACGCTACTGAAGTATTTCCAGACCTCTCTGATCTCGTTCTCGGCCAGGACACCGTCCGAGTTCTCGTCCAGCGAGTTGAAGAACGTTGCGGTCTCCGACTGACGCGGCTTCCTGCCAACGTTCGACAAACACAACGGCGGCAGCGGCAGCGGCAGCAGCAGCAGCAGCGGAGGCGACAACGCGGCACAACGGTAAACATGGCATGATTGGACTACAGTACCCGAGAAACGTCAGCCTGTAGAACGCCGCCGATCAACGGCATAGCATGCAGTTCCGGCACCCTGCTGCAACACAAAAGATGAAAGGTGATCGTCGCCGTTCATGAAGGGCATGGGGGCCAGGTGGTCCACACTACATGAGCCGTTCGAAAAAATCGGGTAATCTGCCCAATACCGGTAAATCTTGCTGCAGGTGTGGGTGGTAAGGGCCATGCACGTCACTTGCTAGACACGCAGCTCTTGACAGCTCTGGGTTCTGTCACTGTATGAGTCAAAACCCATGCGTTTCGGACAGCCTACGAACACGAATCTAGAGCAAAACACGCCTCCCTTTGTGTACCAGGTATTGGAGACAAAAGGTATCAGGCATTCGACGGTGACACATAAATGTGACCGTCGGCTCTCGCGCGTCCACGAGCATGGGACAGAAACACCCCACCTGTGTCATGTACTAGAAATGTGGAGACCGTCTGCTGTCGACGGGTGCTGTAGGCCCTTTGGCCGGCCGCGAGAAGCATCGTCAGTCGGCAACTACGGGACAGCTGTTGTCATGCGCAAGCTCATATTTACCCCACCATGTTTGCAAAGATCCCAAAATCTGGCGACTATTAATACCATGGGTGGCGATCATTGAAAATCCATGCTCCTTTGACGCACAAGCCACACGCACGTGAAGCAATCCTCTACGCAGACAATTGTATATACCTGACCCCGGATTGCCATCCTCTGGCCCTGGCGTCCCCGCCTCCCTCTCCGCCAGCGCTCCTATCGAAACCCCAGGAACCTCTGCTGGAAGCGTCGTCGGCCTCGCCCCCGTCTGACGCCGCTGTCGCTACCGGCTGCTTTCGTCCTGAAGGCTTCGGCCACCGTGCTGTTCCATGGGATTATTCAGGGTAGCACACGCGAGTAACGGGACGCGGGGGTGGGCGGTAATTTGGAAAGAGCAAAGCACGCCAAAGCCCGGCGGGAGGGTGTTAGAAAGGGGGGCGGTCGTGATCTGGTCTGTGCACGCCACGTGGCCGTGGTTGCCGCCTATAGTTTCCAGAGCTTGTCCTTTGCTGCGAATGTGGAATCATGGGATGAGATCACACTGGATTTCGTGGAATGTAGTGTTGCAGGTCGAGATGAATCCCCTGCTGCTACGGTGTAGCCGATTTTGATTCGAGTCACCTTTGCACCTTGACTACTGGTACATACCGGGTGTCCGGTGTCCCTGTAGGTTACCATACACAAACGATACAATAATGCGAGTACATAGCGCGCCTGTGGGCGGGAAGACATGCAAAAAACTGGAGAAGACCCCAAAACAAAAAACAAGCAGCGTTTCCCATCACGTGTTCCGAGTAACGAACTATCTGCTCACAGCGAGTCACACGGCGGTCTGCTGCAACAAGTCCTCTCGTCAACCGGCGCCTCCACCAGCATCGCACCAGCTACAAACTGCTGAGGCAGGATTGAATCTTCGGAATCTTAATCTTTTTATGCGTATCTGCGTGTACTGCTAGTAGCACGACGAACCTATGAGTACGTTAGCGACGAAAGTGTTGAGGTGTCAAGCAGACAGACGCGAAGAAGAAGGGTTGACCCTTGCCCCCGGCAAGCGACCGTCCATTGTGTCGCCCGCAGCGTGCCCGCGAAGTGCAACCCAGGCCTTCCCTCTAGTTGCGCAATGCGGACAAGTTTCAATCGATTTGAAACGCACTTGATGCCAACTAGAGTCAATATACTCCGCCTCTTGTGCTGCCGTTGCACTCTATACCTCCCCCTTTCGGAACACCGCCTATCCTCACCCGCCACGCGTGCAGCAACATCGAGCTCACGGCGCCCGTCTCCACCTCCCTGTTGACTTGAAGCGTCGAGACCTGAAGCGTCGAGTGCTGCTGCTGCCGCTGTGTGCACCCCGTGCGAATCGCGAGCAGCCTTGGCACGAGGGGCGCTCTCTACCGCTGTCTCCAACGAGAGAACGCGGCTTCCGGACAGTCCCGTCAGCGCTAACAGCAGAAGGAAATAGCGGGATGGTCTCATGGCATGGTGATAGGGAGCCCTCGCTCTCCCTGTCTGTCAGTGCGGGTAGTGTTGGGCTAGGTGCCGTGAGGTGTAGTGTTGCCGCACCATCATCAGAAGAGGCTCCGTGGCTACGGAAGTATTTGAGGCCCCCCCGACCGTGTCCTGTTCATGTTGCCCCGCACGACCGCGCCCACAGACCAGGTAAGTACAGCAGACACGACACGAGCGTAGAGAGGGAGCGAGAGGGTGGCGATGGCTTCTTCTTCAGCAAATCAGGGGGAGGGAGGGCCCCAGATATTCATGGACATCAGAATCGGCGATCGAAAGGGTGAGAAAGCGGTTTACTTTTCGACCTTTTCACCCGCGGAATCTTGGTATCAATCCCCGCTCTGCTGCTTTATGCAACAGCGTACAGCAATCGTGCTGTGCTGTACAGCCTTCCATATTGTGCGAAGGGTTGGTTGGCCTATCCCCCGTACTCGTTGCTTCATCCACGCTCTTATTGCGACCCTGATTTCAAAAGAAGCTGCTCCAACAAGGCGGGGCACACCTACATATCTAGTAGCCCGGAAATCCTGTTCCCTACTCCCACGGCAGCTGCCCATACCCACAGTACAACAGCAGTACCCGCACACACCCATGGAACCTGACACACCAACAACTCCCACACTTGCCCCGGTAGACCTGCCATGGTCAGAATCAGCCAATGCATGCAGGTGCCGGTAACGAGGTACCCAACTTTTAATTTGGGGACACGACGTTGCTTTGACGTAAGGTATTGGCAACCAGGAGCTTAACTCTTGTACATACGCAGTCCCTCCGCTGCGCGCTCCATCACCTGGCCACTGGGGTGTCGATGTGCCGATACCCAAGCTCGACTGGGTTTCGGCTATTATCCCCTTTGCCGTGCCTGTAGCATCACCTGACTGCGACCTGTCTCTAGCCTGTAGCCCGGTGTGCTCGTTTGTCAGCCTCCCTTCCCTCCCCCCAATTTTGTGCGAGTGCCAAGTGCCGACGCTGCTTCAGTCGAACCTGGGGTTCGGTCGGCTCCTTTCTGTCGAGCTACGCCTCTCCCATACTCTTCAAGCAATAGACACGAGTTGACGTTGCCACCAGCTAACCCCAGACAAACTACAGCTGGAGTATGACTGCATTCAATGTCTGCCGAGGTTGTAAGTTGGTCAACAGAGCACCGCGGTATTTGGTACCTACTGCGGTAGAGATTAGATTTGATGTTGCACAGAGGAAGTGCTGATGGCGTCGATGGTTTTCATATGGGTGACAGTAGTCTCGAGGCGCCTGGGGACATACCCTGCCTGTCGACGATGCCGCTCGTTTACACGACGCCCCTCGTCACCCCTTCCTGCGTTATTTGGTGGCTGCTGCAGTTGGTCGAATGGTCTTCGAGCTGTACGCCAGCGTGGTGCCGCGAACCAGCGAGAACTTCCGCGCGCTGTGCACGGGGGAGCGGGGCGTCAGCAAGAAGACCAACCAACGGCTGCACTTCAAGGTTAGACGGAGCACGCGGGCGGAGTGAACTGAGCCCTCCCGTGCTGTCAACACACCTGATGTGGTCCGTTTTCTGATGACACGGCGGCAAACAAGCATTCAATGGATCGCCTGCGCGAGGAATTTGTTGTGTCTCTATGAAGTGGAGAGGTTTCATATCCCCAACCCTGCATAACCCAAACTCAACTCCGTACCCCCTACTATAACCGAGCTTACTATTCTGGCAAAGGCGACTGCATTCAGCATGTGGTTCTATCTAACCACCCTCCTCTTTCCTCTCCAGGATAAGAACAACTCTGGTTTCGCGAGATAGCAACACCCACATGTGCGCCCCATTCCAGCTGCGCCAACAACACAGCTACTACCGTGAACTCATTCGTCGTTGGTTCTGACGTTTCTTATCTCCGAAGGACTCGATCTTCCACCGCATCATCCCGGGTTTCATGGCCCAAGGAGGCGATTTCACGAGGGGGGACGGGACCGGGGGAGAATCAATCTACGGGGACAAGTTTGCCGACGAGAATTTCGTCCGGTGAGCCTGCAGCCCAACCAAACACGTGGCACGTTACGTACTTCTACAATCTTGGATGATGTGGCGCTGTAGGCGACCGGTAGCGTGCTTTGTTGACGCTGGCTTTGATGGATGGGGCGACTGCCGGTGTTAACAACAGCACTCGGTTGTTTGTGCGCGTGGTTGAGGCTGCACTGATCGGTACACGTGTGTAGGTGCGATGCAGGGATGGTCATGTGGGGCAATGGGTAAGTACAAGCAGAAAGCCTCGAGGGAGGGAGGGGGGGTGGGAGGGGCAGAGAGGTTGCCTCATCGGTAGTCAGCGAATACCCTCTTTCTTGTAGAGCGGAATGCGTTTCCACACGCCTACGATACACCTCGCCGCGTAGGAGGTGGGGGGGAGTGTACAGTACCTCCGCCGAGTTCCTCCTTTTTTTTTTGTTTGGATGCACGTGCGTGCTGGCCGCAATTATCACAGCTCGCACGAGGGGCGAGGGCTGCTTTCGATGGCCAACGCGGGGCCGCACACGAACGGGTCGCAGTTCTTCATCACCTTCGGCACAGCGCCACATCTCGATGGCCGGCACACCGTCTTCGGCAAGATAGTAGAGGGGATGGAGGTGAGTCGCGAACGCCACGTGAGGTCCCCTGACCTGAGAAACGTCAGGATCGCGTTGACAGGGTATATGTTGGCCTGTGGTGCACCGACGGGACTGCGTGGTGGCCTGGGAGAGGCCGAGAGGGATCAATTTGCCTGCGATCTGGGAGCGAAACGACAACGTGACATGCTGTTGTGGAGTTACCCCGCGCTCCGGCTTGAATGGTGATGCTTTCACGTGCTCTACAACCCCACATCACACGACGGCAGTTTTTTATGTCTTGATGCTCCGTACGTGTCGGCACTACTTTCGTGTGTGTTTTCGTGAGTAGCGTCGACCGCGCTAACCGGCTGACCAATGAACAGACGCCAGTGCCAACGGGTTATGTGCGTGTGTGTGTGTGTGTGTGTGTGTTTTACAGCTATCCGTGCCTTTGGGGGGGTAAAGACGTCAGCACACCCTAACACCCCGTAGTCGTCTTCCTCGAACGATGAAAGAGACAGCAGTCGTAGCGTTTTGGCGTTACGGGTGTGCCGGGCATGCGTTGCCGCGTGACTAACTTTCTCGGTCGTCGCCCCTTGTTAACCGCCGCCGGGTTGTGTTTTTTTTCCTCGTGCATGACTCATATAGGTGCTGGACATTATGGAGAAGGTGTCCACAGGCGGGAACGACCGACCACGGCTGGCGGTCACGATCGATGACTGTGGACAGGTGTGTTTCGTGATTTGTGACCATACCATACCATACCATGGTGCATCGTTACATGGCATGGTATCGTGTCGCGGCGGTTCCTCCTGTGGGAGCACGATTTCGCAATGGTAGCTCGTAGTATGGTGTTGGTGCCATTGTTGGTGTTGTCGGTGGTGGCGATGGTGGTAGTGTTGGGACCATTGTTGTAGTTGTTGTTGTTGGTGGTGGTGGTAGTGTTCGTGTCACTCTGTTGTTGTTGGTGTTGTTCTGCAAGCCGGGGCCTCTTTCCCTCTTGCGTAGCTGGTTCTTCAGCCAATCAGAGGCTAAGACGCCAGATGAATCACCCCGACCGATCCTTGTCCCTTTACTAATGGATACAGAAACTACGAAGAAACGAGATATAAAAGGGCCACATAATCTTGCGATTGGGAGGGACAAGCGATGATAGTCTATGCTAAACCCAACGTAGTACCTGGGTCACCAGAATTTTCTCGGCAAGTTCCCCGGGCCGGTGCCGTCAGCTCCTCTCCCTGCCTTATGGCACCGTTGCATGCATGCATTTCGTGACGGCTTAGAGAAGGTCCCACGCGCTACATTTTTTTTTTTCGGTAGACGCGGCGTTGCCGGGTGTTGTGTTTCTTGCTTCCCGAGGGAGACTGGGCGTATCGCAGGGCAGGCAATGGTGGGCGAGCGAAAACAACGCTTTTTGTATGGATGGTCTTTTTTGTGTTCGTTGTGATATTTTATCAACGACGTTTTGCTGCGTAGAAACTTATTGTAATAATCCTACGTCTTCGGTCGTCCTTGGCAAAGCCCGGTCTTGTTTTTCGCGGGAGACTGGTTTTTTTACCCTCCCCCTCCCGATCAACGTTGGAGCGATTACATTTCAGTAGCTAAGGATGCGCCGGATTGTTGGAGATGGGCGCACGTGTTGAACACTCTTGTCCCGTTCGTGACGCGATGCTTAGGTGGGAGAGGTGGTGGAAGATGACGAACAGGCGGGAGGGGTTTCCGGGCAAGTGGGACAGGCAGGGGCAGCGGGGGGGGAGGCTGACGCACGGCGGAGTACAGAAGAGGACGAATCGGTTGCCCAGAAGGAAGAGGAGGAGGAAGAGGAGGAGGAGGAGGTGTTGGAGGAGCCAGACGAGGCGACACTGGGGAAGATGAGCAGTGTGGAGCAGCGCTTGTTCAAGATCCGTCTCAAGATGAACAAGGTGGGCGGTTACCCTGCATAGTTGTGGCCTTGGGCGGTTCCAAAATTTTGTGTCTCTTGTGCTGCTTGAAAATAAAGTCCTCTGCGGTGGTTTGCTAGGAGGGGTGTTCGGGGGATGGAAAACCAAAGCAGTTTGGGAGACCAAGCGTCATCTCAACACCAACAGATCGCCGTCGCCTGCTTTGAAGGAAGCATCTTGGCGTTTGGACCAGTCCTCTTTTTGTCCGTCTCAATGCAGGCCAGGCGAACACACAAGTCTCGGCCAGACTACGTATAACCAGTAAAGGCCAAAACCGCCTTGTGGTATCACGTGCCAAGGTTCGGCATGAATCGAAGAATTGAACCAAGACAAGCTTTCGACGCTGCGGTATTGTCTTTGTTGTGCTTTTCACCATGCCCGTTCCGGTCTTTCCTCTTTACGGTCACAGGAACACTATTTATATTACCATCAACGGGGAACAACACAACACAGAGATCATGTGCATACGGAGACCCAGAAAAATCAGCACAAACGCTGCAATAGAGGGAAAACAGATTATATTCAGAGTAGTTATCGCTTGTGGGCTGCGTATTGACGAAGCTGGCTTAGGTGTTGCTGTCTAGCGTCATGTTGCTTGGAAATTGCGCCACGCCGTCGTCCATGATAAACATAAGCATCAAGAATGTTTGTAATGCGCCGCAGGGGAGACGGGCGAATAAGAAGGCGGTGAAGGACGAGTACAATCGGCTCAGCGACCCGGGATACGCGGCCAAGATGCGCACGAAGGAAAAAGAAGAGGTGCGGTGGCCAAGGCGGGGTGCTTAGCTCGATCGATACCTGTCTCGTTTTTGTAGACGCGTCTTTTTGCTGAGTTTTTCTTTTTTTTTCTCGGTCGTTTCGTCAAGAGGTGAGTTGCGGCGTGTTTGTGTCTTGGTTAGGGGGTGATTGCGTTAAGTCGTGTTGTTTGAGGTGTGGTGCGGGGTGTTTTTCTTCACGCCATCCTGGTAAGGAGGCTTCGGTTGGTTGTATTCTTCGCATTAATATCGGTAGCGGTCTACGCAAGAAAAGCGAAAGAGATGTCGAAGGCGGTCGAATAGTTGTTATCCCGCTAGAGACCGGCGTGCTTTCAGCGGGCAGTCGGTTAGCTGTGCAAGGAAAACTGACACGTGCAGGCTTCGCCCCGACGTTGCCCTTCTCTTTCTCATAACACCCCGCAGGCGAAGAAGAGATGGGAAGCGGAGATGAAAGAGAGGGGTTTGTCGAAAGATGAGGCGTTTATGATGGAGACTGCACAGTCGGCGGATATCACCGCGCAGCAGAACAACAAGAAAGAGAAACACAAGGCCGCCTTCGGTGAGTCTTCCTGCTGAGGATTTTTGGTTCTTTCCCGCTCTTTCTATTCACCCGCAAGTTATGCTTTAATATGCGCTCCGTTTATTACCCCGCAACGAGTTCTCTTTTGCGGCCCTGCTTATTCCCCCGCCAGAATTAGACGTTTTCCTCTATTCCCCCGCAAGGAATTCGTTCTTGTCCGCCCCGTCAATCCCCCCGGTGGAAGAAATCTCCCTCAATTTGTCGGCGTCGGATTTTCTTGGAAGTATCAGGCATAGGGTTTTGTGGTGTGTTTTGGTTCACGAGCTTTGCGTACTATTTTTTGGTTTGGCTCATGCTTTATTTCGCGTTGCCACCACGGACCTCCGTTTCCCGCTGGAAATTTCGTGTGGTATTGGACGGCAGGGTGGAATGTGTTCAACCAAGACGCGCTCTTCAAGGGCTACAAGAAGCGGCTGGATAAATTGCCCAAGGCCAAGGCTGGCTCAGAATCGGCTCGCATGGTGTGTGAACAGACGTTGCGTAGATTCGTCGATGGAGCATGCGTTCCATTTGCACCGCGGAGTTTTCGTCATCATATACGACGGACCGTTGTATTGCGTGTCTTGCGATCTCGCATGTCGGTGCCTCGAAAGTAGGCACACCTTCCGAGTACTGCTGCACCGGCGATGTGGCTGGTCGATAGCTTCGTTGTTCCTCCGAAGCGATGCGGGTGTTTTTCTATGTGTATTCTGCGGGGTCCCTCGACTTTGAGCTGGGAGGTATGTTTCCCATGTGTGTTCTGAGGGATGCCTCCATTTTGAGCTGGGAGGTACTGTTAAACGACTACCGCACCCGCTGCGTAGTCGGGGCCTCGACAGCAGTCGTTGTCGTGATGTTGCTGCTGAAGTTGGAAGGCTCTGCCGAAATCAAGCATCGTCTTCGAAAAAGCGTAGGCTTGTTTTCTCTCCTCTCCTTTCGAGCCATGTGACACGATTCCGTTTACGCATACCGCTGTTGGGATGCACTTTTAGGAAAGTATTCAAGGGCCGTGTGGTCAAAGGGCCGTGTGCTTACGGCCCCCGTATAGCAGTGGCCCCGCATGAGTGGTCCGCAGCACACACACACACCCTTTCCCGCCATGGCAGAAAGTGCCTCGTGAAAGTCCGCAGAATTTTCAACAGTGCCTCCCCTCCCCCCCCCGCCTCCGGGTGATGACGCTGTGCAGGAGGACACGGCCGAGTATGGCACGAGGGATGACGCAGATTCTAAGGGGATGCAACGCGTGGTGGACGAGCTTGTGGAGAAGGTACGGTATGGCTACTAACAGACGACTTTGAATTTTTGTGTTTCGTTCCGAATTATGCGCCACGGGTCTCTGCGGAGCAAATTTGCTCGGTGTTCTCATGTCCGTAACCGGGGCTTTGCGTTTGTGTTGCGACGATGTCTCTCGTATGGTATGATTTCCAGCTTGCGGCGCGCGCGTGCGCTCGTGCATGTTTATGTTGGCGCAAGGCGTTTTTCGAAACAATGCTGGGAGAGGCTGGTGTGGACGTCCATATTCATGTTTGCGAGTATCAAGAATTCCCCAGTGTTCTTCTCCCTGCCATTACCATTTCTTGCGAGAAGATCAAATCAACTGCAGTACTAATGTCGAACCAGCCTATTCGGACTTTCCGTTGATCGGCCTCGTTGCCGGAGGATCATGGCACAGGCAAGCGCTGGCGTATGCTGCACCTCTCACACGAAAACACATCATTGATGACTGATTTTATTTTCCCATATTTTTGTCTCGCCTTGTTTTTTTCGTTTTTTCCGGTTTTTCCGGGTTTTTTTTTCGGCTGGCGCAACGAAACAGGGGAAACGGAAAGAGGCGTTCAGCCGACGCAGGTCAGAGCACAGCGCGACGGACATCGACTACATCAACGACAGGAACAAGCACTTCAACAAGAAGATCAAGCGCGCCTACGACAAGTACACGGTGGAGATCCGCCAGAACCTCGAGAGAGGCACCGCGCTGTGAAACGGTCAACGGTTTCATCATGTTTCTTGCACGCGATTTCCAGCGCACGTTTGGGTTTCCCATGTAGGCAGGCGTCGTCTCACTGGGTTCTCGAGGCCTCGAGAAGATCACGCGAGAGGTTTTGTCGCTGGCGGGGGACATCAGGAAGAAGGCCACGTAATAACTCAGGGTTTCCAATCGGCCGTGCCTTGTCGGTGTGGGAATGTCGGCAGAGTAAGTATGGAGCGGAGGCGGGCGGTTATACGGCAGCGGCGAGGCAATACCCATCACCGCATTAAAAGGTCATCCCAAGTAACACGTGGTTTGCGATATGGGAGGCATTGCGTCCGGCATGTTGTGTGGACGGACGGTGTATCTCTGTGCGTTCAGCACGGCGGAGGGTCGACGCTTGAGCCCCGAGAAAGCAACCAACCAGCTGTTCTTGTAACGTGGTAAAAAAAAACAAAAAAAAAAAACAGCTGTTCTTGAAACGTGGTGACGGGGCCTTTCATGTTGGCTGTCGGGAATTGCATATGCTGCCGTAGAGTATTAAGGTTGGGAACACCAACGACCAAACGTAAAGGACGCGGAGTCCCACGAGAAGACTGGAGGCATTCGTGTACCCCAAGAACTTTCCAAGAACTCTCCATTAACGTTCCAAGAGCTCTCCAACTAAGAGGCGAAACAGACAGGAACACCCACCCCGGTCAGATTGAAAATTGTTGGGGGGGCGGCGAGGACACAGCTAACACGTCAAGCCGCGCCATGTGCCCGTTGCTTAAAAGGTGATGGTGTGCAGAGAGGGGACAACCGGCCGTCATTGTATCTGGGTTTCAGCTGTTGTTGCCCTTCTGTCGAACGACGCTTGGCGGTGACTTTGTACATACAGCGCTAGGAAATAAAAATCCCGAGGCACAGGAAAGGGCTTCAGTCGCAGCAGCATGCACCACATTCAAGGGGCCTGCTGTCTTTAGAAAACCACCTTGGGTGGTGGAGCACTCACAGAGACCTCCGTTTCCCAAGCAAACGATCAGCTGTGCGGCAAGTCTCGATGGTGCCCGCTATCCTTTGTCCCGGCACTTCCACCCCGGGCACAACACCCAATCTCCGAAAGTAATGGGCTTGCGATGCTTCCAGAAAATATATGCCGAAAGGTGCAAATACAGACTGAACAACGTCCAGCAAAAAGAGAACACAAAAAAATACAAAAGAAACACATTTCCTCTGTGACATGATGTCCTCCAAAATCCAACAAAAATCCCGCACAAGAAATGGTGAAAAAAATCCCCTAGACACTGCTCAAGACGGCAGCAGAAACCTACCCTTGCTTCCCAAAAGTTCAAGCCCCCAAGGCGGCATGTCATCTATCATGATCTTGAACTAGTGACAGAAGAATCTCGACCACGTGCTAAGCAAAAATGCCACGCTTAATTCGTGTTTCGCGTGTGAAAACAAAACGTACCGAGGAGTGGTCAACTTGACGGTAGTCCTGGAAAAGCGCAAAGGTCTTCCCGAAAACCAAAACAACTAAAACAAATCTCTGGAATATTCTTCCCGAGAAACACGTCAACCAAAAAAACACGCAAGAAAAATTACAGGTTTGCACAGCGCATCACTTGTGCACGTCCATGTCGTCACTGGTTAAGCTGCCAGGAGATGTCCTCCGGCTTTGTACACCTTCACTCTCGGGCAACGGACTACTACCTACCCCCATGAATTAAGAGCTAGGTGCCTCCGTAGGAGAAAGTATCGCGCTCCTCGCTGTCACCGCGGAGCTCCGTCGAACCGATTCCGAACCGTTGGCCCTATCACACACGTTCCCTTGCACACAGCAGGGGATTAAAGGGTTTGACTGCATCTCCTAATGTACAGGAGTGGTTGGTTGACTACGTAGTTCAACGCCAGATCATGTACTCGCAAACTGTACAGGGCGGGCCAACGCAAACGACAAACCGTGACACCCGTTCATCACGACAAACCGTGACACCCGTTCATCACGACAAACCGTGACACCCGTTCATCACGACAAACCGTGACACCCGTTCATCACGACAAAGGCCTTCCCAATCAGTCACACTCCAGCTCTCCTACACCATCCATCTATCGGCGAGAAACTGGACCAGGTTAACTGCTGTCCTCTCCGCCGCCTTCTACACGTCTGTAGGTGTCCACGAACTCTACCCTATCCAGGCCCGGAGGAAACACAACCCCGGCCTCCATGTTACGGTCGAAGTCGCTCCCCAGCTTCAACGTCGTCAGCGATTCGGGCCAAACTACGTTGCAGATGGGGTTGTTGAATTCCTCGCCGAACACTAGACAGCGCACGCTGTGGGGCCACGACACTTGCTCGATCTCCTGGTTGAAACACTTCCCGAAGCGGCAATCCAGCAGGCCGTCGGGAAGCCTTATCCCGGCCAGCGGCTTGTTGAAGCTATCCCCAAACGTCAGCTTCTTGAGCGATGCGGGCCAGACCGCAGCGGCTACCGGCTGATCAAACTGCACGCCGAAGTAAATCTCCTCCAGCCCCGGCGGAAAATCGACGCCCTCCACGGCACGGTTGAACTCCTCGCCGAACACCAGCCTCGTAAGTCCACTCGGCAAAACGACATCAAGGAACGGACGGTTGAAGGCGAACCCTAGCTCAAGCGTCTCCAAATCTTCAGGAAAGCCGGCAACGGCGATGCTTTGGTCGAAGCAAGCCCCGAACTTGACCTTTCTCAGGGCCGGAGGCCATTCAACTCCCTCAACGTTTTGGTTGAACCCGCGACCGAACGATATCTGCGCGCGCGTGAGCATGTGTGTGACGGACGGCAACGAAGAAGGCAAGATTCACGAGCACAACAGCGATGGGGAGGATGAGGTTAAGGGACTACCACACACACAATGGTACCTTCACGAGTGCGGTTCAGGTTTGGGTACCGCGGGGAGTGATGACGGTCAGGATGCAGTTTGCGTCGCTCAAAACCATTTGCTGTACAGGCCCGGACACGGACACGAACGCCCGATCGGCACCTCCCCCCTTGCGCGCGTTCCAGACTTTTTCGTGAGGTGCCCCCCCGCCCCGCCATGAGTTGAAAAATCTTGGGATCACCCTACCCCCCCACCCCCCCCCACCCCGCACCTCCCTGCGTTCTTCTCTCGCAGCCGCCGCATTTTTGGGCTACGGTCAAATCTGTAGCCGCAGGTACACCACATAGTAATTGCTCTTGAGCCCTATGGTGGTGACTATCGACAACCGTAGCGGGCGGCCTCTCACCTCTTCCATCCCCCGAGGCCACTCCACGTCTTCGACAGGCAAGTTGTAGCAGTCCCCTAGGGACAGATGCTTGAGCGTGGCCGGCCACTTCTTTGCGGCGGTTCGGATGGACCGGTTGAAGAAAAACCCGAAAGTCAGACGAGCCAGCCGCTGCGGCCATTGGATGCCTTCAAGAGGCTGGTTGAAGTCCCTCCCCAGGGCAAGGGTCGTGAGAGTGTCCGGGAAGCGTACTCCGGCCAGGGGGCGGTCAAACCAGCTCCCGAACGTGAGGACCTGCGTGCGTAGGTTGCCCCCCAAGGCAGCACAATCATTGCAGGGAGGCTGTAGTTGGGAAAGTCGCTTTGCGCCCCCTCCCTTGTCGGTGGTCTGTTTCGAGCACACTGCCCAAACGTTCAAGCTAAGAAGGTGGTACACTACAGTACTGCTGCGGGATTCTCCTGGCTGTCCAGTTTCGCCCCCGAAGTGTACAAAACATCGCGTGTGTACTAAAGTAGGTCCTTCCTTTCGGCCCTTGCGGAATCACTAGGCTCTACGCCATCGGTAATTTCTCCAATACCACGGGACGGCAGTGTCCCTACGGAATGATGCATACGGCTTTGCCTCCTACCCCACCCCACTCATTCCTCCTTTTCGTACCTCTAGCTCCGGAGGCCACTGTACGCCTAGAACCGGCTGATTGAAGTTACAGCCGAAGGTGAGCTTCTTGAGCGACTGCGGCCACGTTACGTCGTCGATCGTCCTGTTAAACCTATCGGATAAAAACATAATGGCGCCACCACGTATTGTAGCAGCCGGGGTCAGTTTCACACACCGGCTTCTGCTGTGGCAAGAAACACAGCACTTTGCGTCTTTCGTGTGTATACGTATGCCGCAATTGATGGAGTCAGCGCACCCCCGTGCGGTCGTTTTCTTAACATTTTCGCCATTTAATACTTGCATCGAACCCCTGTGCGATGACTCCGGACCGTGCGGACCCCGAACGGGGTTCTATTCTTCCATCTACTGCTGTACAAGGATATCTACATGTACTTTGCCCAACCACCAAATACGCAACTCCCACCATCCCAATTGCACGCACCTCCGCCAAAATACTATCGAACTCAGGGTCGGGGGCCAGGGCACCCCTTTCAGGTCTCCGCAAAACTCCGTCCCAAGCACAAGCCCGACCAACTCGACCGGCAGCGCCCAGCCAGGCTTGAGGTCGAACTCCGACCGATCGTACAGCACGCGGACAACGCGGGGCAAGATAATGCTGCGGCTAACTCTGCCGTGGCCGCCACCCGCGAACTTGTCTTGGTACACCCTCCTCGGAGTCTTGCGAGCTATCCTCAGCCGGAAGTTCGCGACCTCGCGGCAGCTTCGGAGCGTCTCCACAGATGCCACCTGCAAGGATATCGTCCGCGCGACCCATCCGGAAGCGATGACTACCCGTAGAGCTCCCAGTGTTGTCGCCGCGGTTCCTCCTGCAGTATCGGCAGCAGTACTATCCTGCCCATCTTCAACACGTGGTACACCAGAAGCCATGTTCGAACTACCAGCCTCTGTCAAGGTAGATGAGATGCTCGACGCAACACAAGTCTGAAGCGAACTGCAGTGACCGTGGGTGGGTGTGCGGAGGACATAATACTCTCCTGAGAACCTGCGCAAATATTTGTCTGGAGGCAAATACTGCCCTGGACAAATACACGCAACTATTATTTGTATTTGTTAGTTGTATTTGTACACGGTGTGTAAAATGTCAAACACGTGCAGCGGCCCCGTGAATAGAGTGGGCTGTGGGCTGCTTCCTCCGGTTTTCGAGCCCCCGAAAACAAGTTGAGTCAAGTTCTAGCAAGTCGCAACAAACCAACTCTAATCCCCTGCACAACCGCAAAAACGCCCGCACACCTCGTCTACCCCTACAAGATAATGAAGATTGCCGGCGGATTGTTGGTCCTGGGTCTACTGAAGACCATCACGGCGTGGCAATCGGGCAGGTTTGCCCATTGGGTTTTTGTTTCGCACTGCATCCGCATACGTTTTTAATCAAAATATCAAAATCTACAACTGTTGTGCAACACGACGACGCTGAATCCATGTACTGCATATGCCCGCCCTCTTGCAACACTTGTACGCAGCCAAGACACGCGCAGAGAGAGACGCACACACACAGAAGACGGGGGGGTAGGGGAGAGAGAGAGAGAGAGAGAGAGAGAGAGAGAGAGAGAGAGAAGGGCGCTACCGTAGCTCGTTGTGTTTATGTGTGTACGGTGTGGCATCGATACAGCAGTAGCAATGCATGAAACCCCATTCCTAACAAGCTAACAAGCGCATCATTTGTGTGCGACGGATCCTCGCCTTGCTGACATTATTTCCGGACATGAAATGTAGATTATCAAACCGTGCCGCAATATTAGGGGTATTAGGAGTGGGACACTAACTGATCACTGGAGGGGTTGATCCCTCAACCTGCTGGAGCAGCTGTTGTGGATATTTGGGGTGTAGTGGGCATAGACTACATTGCACACGGTCGTAGGAAACAGTCTCAGGGACAGGTGGGGGAGGAGAGAAGGAAAAACTGCACATACATGAACGGGCAGGGAGACGGGTGCATGGGACTGCTGTGAACAAGACGTTGCCAACTCAGGGTACACCCGGCGTGGCGATGGCACGCCCCTCTCTGTGCTGGCAAGCTGGCCTATTGTAGCATCTCTCTCCTCGCGACGGGGTGAAAACACTTCAATACCCCGCGCTTACCCCGCTACACGCATGCACACCAGGAGTTGCGTTCCGCAGAACGGTGCGGTGGGAACATTGCTTCCCCAGTTCCACACAGAACCGAGCTTGTGGGTGGTGTTTCGCTCTTTATAAAGGAGATGGGAGTATATACGTATACAATGTTGCGTAGGAAACAAACCTAAACCTCACACAGGCATGTTTTTTCAAACAGAAAAGCAGCAGCTCTATGTGGTTGTATTCAATCCGAGGAACGCAACCCCTGCCACCTGTTATCACCCCGTAAGACGCAAGTCCTAACTTCCATGTGGATGCTCCGCACCATCCCAAGATATTGCCCATGCCGCTCGGGCGAATCCACTACTGTTCGGGGGGGTTGTACGTCTGCAGATGATGTGCATATAAACCTGTCTTCGATGGAGAAGTATGGGGATAACATTCAGGCAACGACAGGGAAAAAAAGGTCAATAACATGAAGCAGGGTGGGTCCCCGTGCCGTAGCAGGAGGCCCTATCTACTTTCCTAGGTTCACGTCGCGTTTTGACGCTCCTCTCTTTTCCGAGCTCCCAGCCATGCGATCCTCTCTATTTCTAGGACAGAAAAAGGTTCTCTCACTACAGGCGCCTAGAGGCGAAAAATGTCAATAAATATCGCACATGAATTGGTTTTTGGTCAGCGAAGGCTGGCCTGAAGTATAGGTGCCCTGGCCTGGGAGGCGGGCGGAGCCACCTTGTATATTCTAACAACAGCTGCAGTTTTTTGTTGTATTCCGTGTGCATGCGTCATCTGCATCTGCCACCTACAGTAGTGCCGGAAATGGGGTGTCTCCCAAGCGTGTGCGCGAAAACAAATCGGGACACATCCCCCCCCCGAGAGGGAGAACATTACGAATTTGTTCCTCGAATCACCGAAAAAATGTGACCAGTTCGGTGAGCATTGGCGGCTTTCGGACTTTCGTAACCAAGATAACATGCCCATTCCCTCTTTTCCCACCACCGCCTCGCAGCCTGAGACCTTTCCACCACGCGTTCCCTGTCCACGATCTACCTCTGGCGAAGAAGTTTTACGGCGAGGTGAGTTGATAGCAGGAGGGTCATCGTCCCCACCCTTAATTCCGCTTCCGCCTTGCCAGACGACACAAAAACAAATAATGACACAACGAATTCATCATGTGGCTCACTTTCTCAATGCAACTTGCTAGGAGATATTGATGACATCAAAGAAGGATTCCGCACCATGTGTTCAGAGTTTTTTTTTATGTCGGATTTCTCCACAACTAGGAGGGTGCGAACACCAACCGATACCTGTCAGGAATGCCTTCGGTGAGATGTTTCCAAAACTACCCTTTTCGGCAGTGGTACCCCCCTGGTTGTGGAGAAATACGCTACAACAAAACACTGACACGGGGGTGTCGTCTCTCCGATAATTACGGTAGTGCTGAAGAAACGTTCGTTTCTCAAGCCTCTGTTTCAGTTCAAGTCTAGTGCCCAGCTGCATGGGTGCCGGGTGACGTACATGTGTTCAGAGTTTGACGTAGGAGGAGGTGCCCACAGGAGGCACGCCATGTGGACAGAAAAAGTGAGGGACCCCTCCCCACGGTGTCCCATGCTTCTCGCCCTGGCGTTTTTTTCACACACAAATCCGGCAGGTACTCGGGCTGTCCGAAGGCCGTTCTTCCCTGAAGTGGCAGGACTATTCCCTGGACGGGCACCAAATCGTTTGCCATTTGGTTTCGAAGGACTACCGCTGCCAAGACTACGTCAACCCCGTGGGTGAGACCTCCCGTACCGAGTTTCAGAGTCAGCACTCGGTATACCTATCATTGTGTTTACACTCCACGCATGCATGGCGAGTGTCCGTCCGTGATGGGGGTGTTGGAGTGCGTCGGTGGTGATGAAGATGTCCGTCAGAAGGAGTCAAGTGAGGGTTGATGGCCTGCTCCCCACAGGCATCAATGCTGCTACTTCGAGAAGCCACGCCCCCCCCCTAAATCATGACGACATCGGTTGTACCTCTAACCGCTTCGACCCATTAGGTGTATGTACATGTCTCGTCAACGACAGTGCACTTCGGCTGTGCAACTGTTTTTAGCGGTTGGACCGTAGGCCCGTCGAATGCTTCTCAACATCGCCGAGGGGGGGGCGAGCTCCAGACCAAGCCGTCGGCGTGTGATACACGAACTCTCGCCACAACCGGTGTAGTTTGACTAGTCCGTTTTGAGGGCTCTCCTGCTAAGACATGGCCACCACAGACCACGTGAAGCTACCTTAGGTCTATGGTGTGTTTTCCTTCGACCAGTGCACATTGCAAGTCCGTTCCACTCCATTGTGCATCGTATGCACGAGGCCAACATTCCCTCGCTCGTGCTTTTCTTTGGGAACAGATGGTGACAGGGTTCCAGTACCGCACACCGGGCTCGCCATGACCGTGGAACAGTTCCATCAATTCGCCGGCAGACTCCGCAAACATGGCGTCGAATTTGTCGTCGAGCCTCATCTCCGGTTCAAGGTATGCATACGACTCGCACAAGTACCGTAGGTGACACAAGATACCACACCCCCTGGACGACTTTTGAAAGCTCGAGTACTACACGACGACGAAGATGCGTAAAGGCAGCGAGACGTTGTCGGAAAGCTCTCGACGAGACGGTTCCCACACCACGACTTGCGTAACGCAATTCTTGCGTGCTGTGGAGAAACCGAGCTTTGAAAATTGGTCCAGGGGGTGTGGTATCTTGTGTCACGTACGGCACGCCCACGCGTTGATACACTCCCACATCATCGAACCCTGCCCACGGTGTAGGGGTGCCTCTGTGTTTGTGACTTCGCAAGTATTTAGTACATGGCCAACCGAACCCAACATTCGGCGTGCAGATACTGTTTCGCAGTGCGTGCATCGTGGTCTGGCTCACAAGGTGACTCTGCTTCTGTTTACGCGCAATAATGTCGAGGTCCTGTTTTGTAGTACAACTGGAACTTTTTCAACGCCCCCCCCCCCGCCCTCCGCCACGCACACGTATGTACTTAAGTTACTATAGGCCAAGCTAAGCGACAGGTAGGACGTCCGTGTCCTCTCCTCGGAGTATATGTGTAGAAGTGTCTCCATGTAGGGTGATGATGCTTGTAGTCTGTCGGCGTAATCGTGCGCCTTTTTCTTCTTGATCTCGCAGGACCAACCCGGCGAGCAGTGGACAATGTTCTTCAAAGACCCGTCCGGCAACAACCTAGAGTTCAAGGCCATGACGAACCCGGACAACCTGTTCGCAAGATACAACGTTGACGAGTTCGATTATGGGGCCGGAGGCGACAGTGATGACGTCGACGCGGGGCAGAAGGAGCTGTAGGCAGAGTGTCTCCTGTCAATATAGAGGCTCATCGTCAATGGGGCACAACAAACTACGATGGTCTCTACACCGGCGATACAGGATGGAGTTGGTGGCATGTGGCGACGGACGGGGAAAAGCGTCGAACTTGATGACAAGGAAATACGACAGCAGTAGCCAATCGTGGTGCCCATGCCAACAAACGCAAGGGCGTTTGTTTTCTCAGGCCAAAACCGATCCTCTTGCTTGCCGGCACTCCCGAGAAGCGGAGTGACATGTACATTATACTGTAGGAGAGAAGCCTCTTGTGGAAAGCTAACGAAGCTTGCCTCTGTATATAGTAGCCCTGGAGTGTTTGTTGAGGTGGCTTGAATGCGATCGTAGGCACCGGCGAACATAGACCGGTTTGAGTGATTTGGGTTGGGGGGCAACGATGTTGGACGTATGTAGTCCTGCTTTGTTCGCGTGTAGATATTGTAGTGTAACAGCAGCGTCTGTTCTTGTGTTGTGTGTCCAAGCGTGTAATCAGCAATTATGCAGTCTGAAATTCGTCAAGCACACGGCGAACTCGGATGGAAAAACCGCTCTCTGTTATTATGGTGTAGTTTTACTGCACAATGAGGGAACGGACCGGCTGAATCCTTTTCGCGAATAAAGTCAAGGCAAGCAAGCACCACAGGTTAACAAAGACAAAGTCCTGTCTGGACAGCACTGGTGGTGACATGCGCACGGGAAACACCAAGGCTTGCAGGAATAATAATGCTCAAACTCGATGTATTTTTTTGTGCTGCTTGTGGTTCGAATCGCTGAACTGCTGTACAAGTGCGAATGTGTGGCGTATAGCGTACCCCACGGACATCTAGAATTATGAGTGGGTTTTAACCCCCTTTCCGTATTTGTTGGCCTAGCATTCTGTGGCGGGACAATGCTGAAATGCCCCACAAGGTAAGAATTTACATTGTGAAGCTTGTCACCAGCGGAGTTTTGCATTGTTGGACTGTATGTTAGTTAGTGTAGACGAAGTATTTGCAGTTTTTCGCTTAATGCAAAGGGGAAGACATGTCTACCAGCACATGTCGGTTGTTCGCATTCTGTGCTAAACAAACTTGCAGCAGTGTGCTAAACAACCTCACAGCAGCTGCGGTACAGTGATACAGCAGTATGTATGCCATGGTCTGCTACATACTTACATGCCATACTATTGTACTGCTGTACAGCCGTATCCAACCACAGCAATATATATATCTTCGTTGTTCGCGAGCGCACATTCTCTGGAAATAATCAAGAAGACAAAACCGCAGGTTTCATCAACCGAGTCCCGTGCACTGCTGTATCGCACTACTGCTGTGGTGTAGGGAGGGCAGAGGGCAAGAGCATGTGGGTGGGTGGGACCGGGGACACTCAAGAAGGTATCCCGCATATCCAACACGCGGCAAATATGAAAAACCATTTTTTTTTTTTTCCTCCAAGTTGTCAATTTTGTCCCTCCTTTGGCCCGCGCTTGATCCGCACACATGTGTGGAGGGAGAGCTTACCGGCTGCTCCGCTCCATTCTAACGAGCAGCATGGCGCACATGGGGTGAGTTCACCGATCTGTGCTGACTGCTGACTGCCGTCACCATCATGCCACAGCAATGGCATCCTGAGCCGCGTGTAGTCTACACCGCAACACGCACGTCAGGGTCTAGACTAATGGTTTGTTACAGCAGTCTGTACCTGGTTTATGGATTTACGCATATTCTGCCACCCAGCAGGGCATGAAGGCACACCGCTGTGTCTGGCTCAGCTCTCGCACCCAGCCCGCCTGCCTTGCTGACGGCACCCCTCTCGTTCCTGCTCTCTCTTGTGTCCTCGTTTCACGCTTTGTTGTTGTGTTTGGAAAAAAAAAAGGCACGGGCCGCAACCTCGACAGCAGCACGGGCTTCTGCCAGCTCAACCAGAGGTAGTCCCGCCGGAGCCGGTGCTTGCGGACTGTACCCTCACAAGGATGATGATCGCCGCCAACAGCCCGGACGGGACGCCTGAGCCGCACGACGTTGTTGTGGCCGACGAGAGGTTTGTGTTTTTTTCGTCGTTCACGTGCACTTGATTGATGTGGCAGACGGAGACCATATTAGACGGTGCGACCCGCGCATTACGTAATTGCCGACTCTATTGCTCTCCTCTCAACACAGCAGAGGTTTGTGCGTCGCCGTAAGGATAGGTTGTTTCTCTTACGTCCTGCATCGTGCTCCTTGTGCTTCGTTGGATTGGTACAGCAGCAGCAGACGAGGGTCGTGATGCCCGAATCATTGCCGACAACGCAGCAAGTGCTACAATATGTAGCTCGCGGGCTATCCTTCTAAAGGTAACAATTCTTTTGCATTACCTTTCGACTCTGCCGATTGGCTGGTGTACAGAATCAATTAATAACGCGGCGGCCAAATGATTCCCGCGCGCGAGAGTGCTGCTGGACAGTTTTGTGGGCTGTGGTTGGTTGTTGTAGTCGTCGTTGTTGTTGTCGTCTTCACGTCTTCACATTAGTAACCGTTCTGGTCTTGTGGTGGGTGGCGGAATACTTGCCGCTGGATAGTCTATGCATCTACTGCATCTCCGACGACCAAACACGAACACATGGCATCTTGTACATGGTGCAGCAGTCCAGCAGTGCCTACAGAAGAGTACACTCGCCGTGTGTGGATGTAGCAAATGCCAGGGGCCCACGAGGGTCACACCGACACAAGGAACGACGAGGAAGGACTGCAGTAGTGAACCCATTGCTACGAAAGCGGCCATCCACATTACACACAAAGCTTTCGGGGTGTACATCGCATGCATAGTATAGTTCACCTTGCACTTTACTCTTTGCCCCCTACTGCTATATGTGGGGAAAACACCGAGTTTCGAACTGTTTACTTTCTGCAAAAAAAACTCGGAGATGGTATGCATATAGAACTGCACATGGCAGTTTCCGTTGTATTTTCTACTCTCTTCGTAAGAGTACAGCGGACCTAATGCTTGTACAGCGTTGTCTTTCTGTGTTTGAAGTATTTATTTTCCTAGTGTTGCGTATGAACCATGTCGAGCGGATGAGCCGCCCGTTCAGGGCGACCACGGCGGACAAACTTTTGGTGAAAAAGAAAGCTGATCAGCCATTTGGAGGCTTGGGGTGTCGGATGTACATAGGTGAAAAAGGATGAGTTGGGTGTTTCTCTCTCCCAAAGGGGTGTAGGCGCATACGTAGCACTTCGTGTTGTAGCCGGCCGACACCTCTTAAGCGTACTGCTGTACATTTCACACACGCGCGCACAACGCCCTGCTGACTTGAACATATATTCGCCTCCATCACTGGGGTACAGCAGTACTTCGTAAACCTCAATCTTACTCTTTACATGATTTTCCCCGCTCACCGCTGCCGGTGGAGGAACGGCCGTTTCCGCCACGCCGACAGCAGTGTGATCCTCCTCTATAGAACTACAAACCGGCGCTATCTACATGAGAATATTGGATTTAGTGTGGGGAGTCGCGAGTCGGGTTATGTTTAAAGTGCGAGATATTTGAAGTACGAGGAAACGGGGAGGAGGGGCACCGACCGGCTCAGAAAAAGGTCTGAAACTGAAGCACTGCTGACCATGATGCTTATACAGTGTATGACATGTTTCTCCTTTCCTTGCCAAAGTATGCGTTCGCACTTGTTGTACGCATGCAACTGAGTCTGAACTGCTGGCCATGATGCAAGTCGTAAAATATAAAAGTCGTTGCATGCATAGCATATGTACATGGAGAATACGCCGTAGCGCTTGCTTGCCCGCCGTTCGAAACGCCTTCCATTTCTCTCCTTCTACTATTTTTGTCCCTACGCCCAGAAAAACCCGCAACTCTGCTGCAACTATGTAACACCATATGCCAACAGCTGCGCTCTGCCCCCTCCGCCAGGGATGTCGCATTCGCACTTTTGATAATACGACGAAAACTGCCATATTCATCATTACTATCCCCGCCTTCTGTTTATTGTGAAGAAAAACAACAAAACAAAACAAACTTCTGTCTGCCTCCCTGTCTCCCCCCCTTTTGGCGCACCCTTCTCTTTGATTCCATCTTGGAAAAACTGCTGTGGGTGGGCTCCGCACGCCGAACACCTTCACAACACTCTTGGATACGCATGTTATCCTACCGCTCCACGGATGTACATCACGCAACATGGTGGCCCTTTCTTGGCGTGTCTCATCTATGGGTGCTCCAGCGGGCTGACGTTCATGTTCGTCCGGAGCTTGAAGGATGCCATTTACGGACAAGTGTGGGACGCGATAGAGGTGTGTATGCATGTGTACGACGTATGTGTTGTTGTTTAATTTCACAACACGGTTTGGGGTCCCATCCGGTACCGGGTGTCCCGTTATGTCGTCGGCGGTTTGCACCGAGTTTGAAGGAAGCATTTTACATTTTACGAACTGGTTGTGGATGCGTTTTGAGGTGTGTACAATATGCATATCCAGATGGGCGATGTTGCGTTGTTGTATGCTTTCACGGTTGGTTTCATCCGGGAGCAGACGTCCCGGCTTGTCATCCGGAGGTCTGCGTATAGTTGCGTTTTCTGGGCATGATTAGTGCCGTTCTTGAAATGTGTGTTCAATGAATTCGTCCCGTCTACCCTGGGCGACAGTCCTTTTTCGTTTCGGCATGTGTTGCGCGCACCAGCCGGAGGTCAAGACAGGAGGAAGTTTAACACTGGATTTATTTTTGTTTTCTCCGCGTTTCCTCATGTGCGGTGCTTCTCTTCGATCTACTACTGTTTACGCCGTAAGGGTCCTCGGTCCTCAGCAATCTCTTTCTGGCATTCCTTTGTGTGTACTCCCGACCCATTTCGAAAGTGTGGATTTGTTTCACTCCGAAGAGCTTCGAACCCACAACCTAGAGCCAGAAGGTTGTACGAGGATGTCGACTATGATACCACAGATACAGGTGGCACATTGTATGTATCACACCCCCTTGGCCCAGTTTTCAGAGCTCGATTGCTCCACGAACGAGGATTTATGTATCAAACGATAGTTTTTCGGAAAAATCCTGACGACACGGTTCCGCCGCCGTCGTGTTCGGCTCCGCCGCTCTTTCTGCTGTGGAAAGTCGGTCCAGGGGGTGTGATATCTCACGTCATGTCTCCTATTAATACTGTGAACCACCCAGCCACGGGGTGTGTGACTAGTGTCTAAACGCAGTGCCACTCAGCAAACACGTGCGACATCCACATACACTACGGGCTCGGAGAGCGCGAAACCACGTTGCTTCACGGAAGACTACCGGTTTGAAGAAGGAATCCCCCAGGCGGGATGGCGGTGCTGAAGTTGAACTTACCCGCGTGAGAGTTTCGTGTAGCAACATCCGGGTGGATTGCTGTGTTGTTCAGTTTACCTCGTGACACCTGCTGGAATCCGGAATACCGTTTGTAGCTGCTGGTGCTGCTGCTGTATTCCAGTATCGACGGGCTCGACCTATTCATGTATGAAAACGGTGGGTATGCATGGCTGTCACGAAACACTGCTGCTGTTTATTTACATTCCACTCCGTCCCGCCTTCCTCTGGAAGGTGAGGCTGCACAGCGGGGGCGGCGTAGACTTTTATACACCGGTTCTCGACGAGAGAGGCGTGCCGCGCCGGTTTGCCGTGAAAAGGATGCCCAAGGAAACTATTGCCAGATTGCTGCCGACCATGCAGGAGGTGAGATGGGTCTCGTTTGGTGAGCAGGGAGGCGTTTTATTTTTATTTTTTTGCCTGAAATGTTTTTTGCCTATCGCGGTGGGTCGGTCCGCTCGCGTGATTGACTTGGCTGTGGCCCGCGGGTATACTACCGGAGCGCGGGCTTTTGTGTTTTGCCCGGCCCGCGAAACTCAATCGCAGTCGAGAGTCTGTGCACGGTTTGGTTCGGTGCTTGTCATATGCTTGGGCTCGGGTTCTTTTGCGGATTGTTCACCGACCCCAAATATTATATGGTTTTGGATACAATGTCTCTTCCCCCCAAACCCAAAATTCGTGGGTAGTATATATTCTACTTGGGATATGTTTGCTCCGGAGTACCATCTATTATCACAAGAAAGTAAGCAGCCACGTTCACCCACTGCTTTTGTTTTTCATAATTTTGTCGAGAATTCGAGGCTCTGATTGCGTTTTGGTGTGGTCGCTCATGGGGTAAACGTGAAGTACATGTATCACGTTGGTCGGAGAATGAGAGGACTATGTGCAACGGTTTCTCTGAATTTCAGATGGCGATGTTGCAAGATTCACGTCCGGCGACGAGCGTTAGGCACAGATTGAGTTTGTTTTTGGTCGTCCAAAGCCGCGATTGTTTTGGGGTCTCTTGCTTGTTGTTATCTCCTTCGCACCCCGTGATTTTGGTCGGAACCAGCTACGGGCACGCTTACAAGTAAGCACACCCCGCCCCCTCTCGTATTACTCGTAATTATTTTGTTTGTTTTTCATACTGAAGCTAAACAAACCCATCTTTTTGCATTGCGTTTTCCCCCAACAATAACACTCTTCCAACATTTCGTTACGGTATCTGATGAGCACGCCTGAAAAAACTCTACGTTGTTCCCACCCTGTGTTCTGTTCTGCTCGGGATGCCGTTTTTCGAGGATAGAACCCGATGAGAGAAGCGGCCTTTTTGACCTTGGTGCAAGATCCAGGACACCCTAACGTGGTCGGCCTGGCGGCGGCTCTACAAGACGGTAGGTTCCTGTTGGCTCTCGCTCGTGGTTCGCTTGTTTTTTATTTTCTTCTTAATATGAACAACGAATCCATATCGATCTATAGAAGAGTGTAAGATAGCTTAGTTTTTTTGCATGTGTGTGCGGGGGGGTACATGTACCTCGCCCGTACTTGACCACATTCAACACGCACGCAATTCCGCCTTGTCTCCCAACACCCCTGGCTTTTTTTTTGCTATAGGAAGTTTCCACACTTTTTTTTTAGACCTACTCTCACCCCCCCCATGTCAATTTGGTAGTTCCAACAGCGTTTTGTCACCCCCCCTATGTTATTTTGGTGTGGTAGAGGGAGTTTCAACATCGTTTTCTTACCACTCTCGCCCACCCCCCCGTTTTTTTCCGAACCAACACAGATACGACCGTGTACTTGGTGACGCCTTTCGTTGGTGGAGTGGGGAGCGGAGAGATGTTCGACTGGGTCGCGGATAACTACCAGAACCCGGCACCGGAGGCAACTATCATGCCGCTTTTGTACCAAATCGTCGATGGCACGAGGGTGAGGAGTGCCGAAGAGATCGATTCTCTCCCTCGAGTCGCGTTTTTCTTGATGCTGCTTGGCCACTCTGTATGGGTATTTGCGTCCCCCAAAACTGAAAATTAAAAAATCCCGAAACAAACCACGAAAAAGAAACACGCAACGCCATCATGTGATCATTTCTTGATGTTCACGTTTGGATACGAATTGCCCAATTTTTTTTCAAGCTGAGTTGTATGCGGACAGCTTGTGTGTGACTTCGTAGTCATGCCGCAGTGGGGGGGGGGGGGGGTCGTCCAACGGCGCCGCCCGATGTGGCGGGAGTGCGGTCTTGCGGGCCCCCTCCAGTGTACCTTGTGGTGTCGCACGCATGATGTTCTGCGCTCTATGGGCTCGTGGTTCGATACTACTGCGTTGGAGGCTTTGCCCTCCGGAATCTGCTGCCCGACGCACTAATAATGCCACAGTTGTCCCGTGACTGGGACTTCGGCAAAACACGTCATGGAAAAAATACGGTTCGCTTTTGCTCGTGTAGTGCCGCCAGCACCTCACACAACGGCCTTGCTTCGGACAGGTAGAGCTGACGTATCCCGCCGCGCCGCGGATGAAACCGTCACCATATTTTTGTTGATTCAAACCATCGTCTTGAGACGCAAAATACGAGCACGTCTTGCCAACGCCAAGCTGCGTATGTACAAAATATATACCATATGCACATTCCTCCCGAGTTTTGTGTCCCCACCCGCGGGTATACAAAACATTATTGAGAATACTCCTCGTTCGATGTTCGGCTTGTGAAACGCGTGCATGCATGTACGCCTGGGGGTGGCAAACCCTTTTCCCGACGACAAAAAAAAACAGTACGTGCACTCGAAGGGGATCTGCCACGCGGACATGTCGCTCGAGAACACCTTGGTCAACTCGGCGCACACCGAGGCTTTCATGATCGACTTCGGCATGGCCCTCCAGATGCCGACCGACGAGGCTGGACAACGGTGAGAGAGAGGGCGGTGGGCTGCTACAGGACGCCCCCCCCCCCC